GGGGACAATATACCATTAGAAGGAAAATTTCAAATTTAGGGGAGAAAATTTAAGGCATGGCTAAAAGTTAGGAAACTTTTTTCTCTAATCCATAATTTTAAAAAGTTGAAAGGGGCAATATTGCACTCTCAGGGTGAAGATCAAGAGTTGGAGTTTTGATACTGATAATTTATATCACTAGAGGATATGAGGATAAACGGCATTAATTTTCTTAATGATAATGATGTTGGTATCTCCACATTCTTAGCATAAGAATGTTGGAGATCCTTGGAACCTCGTCTCTAAATTGATATCTCGATTCCTTTCTTTCTTTCATTTTTTTTAAGATCAAAGAAATTAATGTTCCAACCTCTTGCCAACCTAATTGAAGCTCCAACTTTAGCAAGTTTGAATTTCTTGTTAGATGATTTGTGCGTTATCTCAGATTCCAATTCCACTTTTGAAGTGTGGTCAAGCTTAATTTGTAAAATGCAAAATGTCGCAAGTATATTTATCCTTCGAAGTAGAAATTAATCATTACTGCTATTTGTAAGTTCCACGCAAGGTGTGGGTTCTTGGTGCCTTTACAAATATAAATTGTCTAAGTTAGTTTTTGTGCTACTTTTATTATTTTTAATTGTAAAATTTGATTTAAAAAAGTGCCATTGTGTAAATTGATTTCTCTTCTCATTACTTCACTTCATCACACCTTTTAACATAGCATTGCCTCTTGAGAAAGCCTTACATAAGAAATTTAAATTATGATGGACAAATGAAGACGAAAGAAATTTATTTGACCTAAGCCAAGACAAACAAAGGGCTAGTGTATTTAGGCCTTGAATGTAAAATGCATATTAATTTAATCTGTGAGGACTTGCAAAATTCCTTATATTTTTCTAAAAAATTCCCTTTTATTTGGAAATTATTACTTTATAATAGCCTTACTACCCAAACACCCCACAATAAGTGCAAATGAACAAAGAATTAAGGGTTTTTCCTTTCGTTTTCAAGCTATCGAAAATTAGGGTTTTTACGCCTTTTCGTAGTGTGACTATTCGGTGTGGAGTGTGTATCACATTTGGTGATTAAGAGTGAGTTTTAAATGATATTAAGAGTGTGATTATAAGTGATAATAATAAGTTAGTTAATTATAAGATAAAACCCTAGTATACGCGATTTAAGGAAAAACGGCATGAACCGACGGGTATCGTTCGCTACTGATTGGCTACCAATTGAACATACCATTTAACCACCATTTTACCAAGTTAATCTCATTGTTATTAGAGCCTAAATATCAGTTCTAAAGCTGATCAAAGAGGCCGAAATATTTGACCCCAAGAACCCAAGGAAAAGAAAAAAAAAAGTGAGATGTGATCTTGTGTGGACAAGTGGCATCCATCCAAGAACCTTTGACCCAAACTATGACCAAGCCATAAAACCAACTTGGAGCTTCATTCCTCTTCATTTTTCAGCTTGTGGCCGAAACCTTGAGAGAGAAAACACAAGGAAACGAAACTCCATTATCATCTTGTAGCTTGGTGTTTGTGAGTGAAAAACAAAATTCTAAACCGATTAAATCTTTCTTTGAGCACTTAGAAAGCTTGGTGTGCAAAAGGTTTACAAGGAGAGGTGGTGGATAACTCTTACAAGCATCTTTGAGAGGTATATTGGCTGTCCATCACATTTATTTCCCTTAGTCTTGTTTAAGTTGGTAGTAACTTGTAATCTTGCTTGTGATGCCTAATTCAAGTGATTTTGATGATTGTGGTGCTGAATTTTGAGTTAGAGTTTTGAATGGTTCACTTATAATTCTTGTTGTTTAAATGGTATATGGTGTATATAATCTCGTATAAGAGATTGTAGTAGTGGTTTAAGCTAGAAAGGTGAAGTTATACCTTGAACTCCTTAAATTCCAGAAATGAAACTCTTCACTGCCCTGTTCTGACCGGTTCTGTTTGACCATGAGGAAGGTCGAATTAGGCTTAGTACAAAACATAAAAGTTGTAAAGAATGATGTTTTATAACTGCCTGCAAAAGTTTAGCTTAATCGGAGCACTGTATCTTATCAAATGACAAAATACCCCTAACTGCCATAGGTAGAGCTTCATGGACAGTTTTGACATTTCACCAATCTAACCGCGTCTGCTCATCCTGATCCGTACTAAATTAGCATTTGGCCAAAACATAGAAGTTATAGTGCTATGTCTTAGCTTTCCAAAGGCCCTGAAAACACCTCAATCGGACTTCGGTAGCCTGAGTTATTATCGTTTACGTATAGTGCGATTAACTAGCCTGATTGTGAGATTTTGATTCTGTAATTTGAAATTTTGACCTGGATACACTACGAATTGGACTGAGTGGTCTTCATCAAAGTTGTAACCCTTTCTCTTAGTTTCCAAAACGGTATAAATTGTACACCAGGTCGATAAGCGTAGCTTCGGTTGTGTCCAATACGCTACGTGACATCAAATCTGTCTTTTGTTTTAGGACTTAAACTTCATTTGAAATGAGATGATTTTGTGTGTGACTTTGGGACTGATTGAGGAAAAAATTGAAGTCATAAATAGCTGAAAAATAGGTAAATACAAAAGGCGTGCCACCCAAATTTACGCTCGAAAGTTAGGTAGATATACTTGCGACTTAAGTAAGGCTTGAGAGCAAATATCACTTGAATTATCTGGGATATTGGTGTCCACTTTTATCGAGATATATAAGTTAGAATTTGGCCGAACTTGTACCCTTGGGAAATGAAATAACAACTACTAAAAATACGTCTTCCTCGTTCTTTCGACTCAAATGATATTTCCAAGTATAATTGCTACAACATTGCACAGTTTAAAAAGCGAGCAAGTGTTTCACGAATATTCTCCAAATGAATTTCAATTACTTCATTCTTATTGAACGAAACTTTTAAGTTTTGAACCTTAGTCACTTTTCAAAATTCTTAAACAAAGTTTTATCGCAGATTTTGACTCCAAACTCAGAGTACAACCCAGACGTGATCACTAGAGGCACTACATTTTAGTGAGTGCTTCCATATATTTGATTGAACTTGACATTTGTGTTTAACACTTGTCCAATGTGATTACATGAAACATAAGTGAACTGCTAGGGCAAGAGTGTACTTTATCGCACTTGCCCTAATGTGATTTGTTCTTATTCATTGATTGCAATTGACTTGCTACACATGCATATGAATTGTATCTTGTCTGGAATTCCAGAAACCCTGTGGCTAGTTAGTCGAGTCGAACCGGCAAGGGTCTGATCGATTAGATAACGAACCCTGGGTAGTTAGTGATGTCGAGCGGAGTGTTATCTTCTCGACTAATCGGTATATTCAAGTATTACCACCAATATTTATTGTGGAGTTCGGGTCCGGTAAGGGGTTTGGTCGATGAACGGAGATTGGAGTTAAGTAGTGTTCTACTGGACTAGTTTCTTCCTTTAAAATTGACGGAGTGTCAACTACCAATAGATCAAGCTATGGTGGAGTCGATATATGAGCAACTGTATCCTTATATGTGAAATGCGGAATGTTTATTGTTTGGCTATATGAAGTGTTGTTACTCACTTTTTGACTTGTTTTGCTCGCTATTTCACTATTATGCTACTTTTACTTTATTTGGATGGACAATTTGATATTTGGAACGTCACTGAGATTTAGCTCACTCCATTAGTTTTGTTTTCCTTAAAGGGGTACGAGCGAGGCTTGAGACGTGTACAGACTAGCATAGACTAGTAGTTAGAGTGATTTATACTTGCTATGCCTTGGTTATAGTTTGGTTACGATAGGCTAGGGTTTCGCACTTGAGAATAGGCCCTTTGCCTCGATTTATATGTCTAACCTATTTTTTTTTTTTGTAATACTATTTGTAATGTAGAGGATGGCGGGTGCAGATGCTGTTGGGGGTGCTGGGCCATCTCAACCCGTGCCTACTGATGAGATACACCTCGAGGGACCCGTATGTCGCGTACTGACCTACCAGGAGAGCCCCGATGGGCCCGTGTGTCGGTGGTCCCTGGCACGCAAGATCCAGCGCTGCGACTGCTGGAAGACCTATTCCTACCCCGATCGGATAGTCCTTGCAGTGGATGATGAGTGGAGACGATTGGGTAGCGCCAATCATAGGTGCCAGACGGAGATAGAGCGTTTCCAGGCAGCCCTCCGAGTACACAGTGCCAAGATCCGAGAGCTTGAGGCTTCGATTCTGGAGGAGCGGGAGCGGACTAACGCCTTCAGGGAGCAGGCTCAGGTGACTACTGGTCGCCTTGTTCGAGTAGTTGGCGATGTCCGAGACCGGACCGACTGTATCATGATTGAGTGCGGGGCTCTAGTAGAGGATATGGTTCAGGACTTGACCGAGAAAGGTCAAGGTCAGGCGGTCCCTGGTGCTCCTACGGAGGAACCGGAGAAGGACCCCGAGGAGGATCCGAAGGAGGAGTCGATTGCACCTACGGGTCGGTTGGGTTGGCATCTAACTAGACCCCTAACTCAGGATTTGAGAGACTTTTGTGAGGTAGTTAGGGACAAAATGGGAGGACACGTTCCCTTTTGTTTTTGAATGTGACGTGTTACGGTGGATGTAATTAGGGTTGTTTTGTTCTATGTCCCTTGGCTGGTATAAGCCTTTGACTGGACTAGGTTGGCATGTATAGTATTTTCTAACCTGTTATGTGACTTGTTTTGCTATGTATATAAAAGAAATGTTTATTATGTGTTTTAGTGCCTCCATTTTATAATTTGAAAATGTTTTATCTGAACCAATCATGAAAGGTAGAAGGAGTCAGGATCAGGAAGCTACCCGAGGGCGTGGCTCTAATCGTGGGCGAAGGGGTAGACAGGCCCAAGAACCAGTGCAAGAACCAAGAGGGGAAAGAAATGGAACAGCTGAACCGTAACCTGGACCCCGAGCAGAAGGGGGGATCAGGTGGCGACGGCAATTCAGCAAATGACTAATATCCTTACCCGTTTAGTAGAGCAACAGGGTCAAGTCCCTGTGAACCAACCTAGAGATCCCAATATGGGACAAGATAGAGCTCTCGAAAGATTTCAAAAGTTCTCTCCTCCTAAATTCCTGGGAGGACCGGACCCTGAGAGAGTTGAGAGATGGTTAGAGACCATGATCAATATCTTTGCCACTCTGAACTATGGGGAGGATAGGCAAGTGCAATTCACCATTTTTCAGTATGAAGGTCCGGCCAGGGCTTGGTGGAATGTGGTTAGAGCTATGTGGGAGAGAGAGGGAATCACATGGACCTGGTTGAATTTCGTGCGGGAATTTAACGAAAAATACATTCCACCTATCGTCCAGGAGAAAAGAGATGACGATTTTATTAAACTCTGGCAGGGAACATTGAGTGTAGCTGAGTATGAAACCCACTTTACGAAATTGTCTAAATTTGCTCTTGAATTGATAGCCACGGAGCTAAGGAGAATACGGAGGTTTGTGCAAGGGTTCAATGTAGAAATACAAGAGGCCTTAGCGGCGGCCCAGATCAATACTTTCACTGAGGTTTTGGAGAAGGCCCAGGGAATCGAGACTGCTAGGGCACAAGTGAGAAATTTTCACGCAAAACGAAAAGGGGCTCCGGGTGGAAGTCAAAAGCCGGCACAAAATGATCGAAGTGTGCCATCCTCTAAAGTCGATCGTGGGGCTGAGGTGGAAGGTTTACGGGTACCTCGAGAGGGAGGTACACCGAGGAGAGGCCAAGGTGGAAGAGGACAAGAGAGAGGTGGTCCACAGGGGGGCCAGACCTCCACTCCCCGAGTATCGTGTGGCTATTGTGGAAAATCAAACCACACCAAGGATAATTGCTGGAGAAAGGCCCGGGAGTGCCTAAGGTGTGGAAGTACGGAGTACTAGATCGCTAACTGCCCGCTAATTAGCGATGCTCAGTCGGCTAGTAAATCGAACCCGAAACCGACCACCGTAGGAGGGACCAGGTCAAGGATACCGGTCAGGGTGTATTCGTTGGACCAGCAATCAGTGCCTGAGCCAACGGAGGTAGTGGAAGGTACGATTCCTGTCTTCCATCGTTTAGCTAAAATTCTGATAGACCCTGGTGCCATTCATTCTTTTGTTAGCCCTACACTTATGCTTGGAATTGACATGAAAGTTGAAAGGTTACCTTATGATTTAGAAGAAAGAACACCTACGGATAATCAAACTTTACTTGCGAATGATGTGTATAGAAATTGCGATATTTGGATTGGTAAGCGGAAATTAGTAGTCGACCTCATAAATCTAGCTATTAAAGGGTACAATGTTATTCTAGGCATGGATTGACTAGCGCATTATCATGCTTGGGTAGATTGTAGGATGAAAGTGGTCGAATTTTGCATACCAGGTGAGGCAACTTTAAAGTTAGACGTGAGGGGTATGTTAGCCTCATCTGCGCTCATTTCGGAAATAAAGGTTAGGAAATTGCTTAGTCATGGGGCACGCGGTTATTTAGCTTTTTTAGTTAACACCCCGGGAGAAAAGATTAAACTGGAGGACATACCGGTAATCAGTGAATATCCGGACGTATTTTCGGAGGAGTTGGAGTCACTACCACCGAAAGGGAGATTGAATTTAAGGTTGACCTAACACCTAGAACTACTCCCATTTCAAAAATCCCTTATCGAATGGCACCTACCGAACTTAAGGAATTAAGAGTTCAATTGCAAGACTTGTTAGAACGGGGATTTATACATGAGAGCAAATCACCGTGGGGAGCTCCAGTACTATTTGTTAAAAAGAAGGACGGGAGTTTAAGGTTATTCATTGATTATCGATGGTTGAATGCGGTAACCGTTAAGAAATATCCTTTGCCCCACATTGATGAATTGTGTGATCAATTACAAGGGGCGGTGGTGTTCTCTAAGTTGGATTTTCGACAAGGGTATTATCAATTGAAAATTAGAAAGGAGAATGTGCCAAAATGGCTTTTAACACTCAATATGGGTATTTCGAGTTTGCAATAATGCCTTTTGGCTTAACCAATACCCCAACAGCATTTATAGATTTAATACATCGGGTGTTTAAACCCTACTTGGATAAGTTTGTGATGGTGTTTATTGATGATATCATAGTGTACTCAAAGACAGGGAGGAGCATGAGCAACACTTGAGGATAGTATTGCAAAGCCTAAGAGCACCAGCTGTTTGCCAAATTTAGCAAGTGTGAATTTTGGTTAGAGAAAGTAGCCTAGGCCATATCATTTCAAAGGATGGGTTTACTGTAGACCCGGCCAAAGTAGAAGCTGTAGCCAAATGGAAACGGCCAGAGAATCCTACTGAAGTACGAAACTTTTTGAGCCTAGCGGGATATTACCGCCGATTTATAAAGAATTTTTTGAAAATTGCGGGACCTCTAACGAACTTAACAAAGAAACAAGGAAAGTACATTAGGGATGTTAAGTACGAGAATGGTTTTCAAGAGTTTTAAAGGCAATTGACCATGGCTCCAGTGTTACCCTTGCTCAATGGAACGGATAGCTATACGGTTTATACCGATGCTTCGAAAGAGGGGTTAGGGTGTGTTTTGATGTAAAATAAGAATGTGATTGCCTACGCATTTTGGAAGTTAAAGCCTCATGAACAAAACTATCCAAGCTTGCAGCTGTTGTGTTTGCCTTGAAGAAATGACGGCATTACTTATATGGGGTAACATTTGAGGTATACACGGATCATAAGAGACTTAAGTATCTATTTTCTCAGAATGAGCTAAATCTAAGACAACGTCGGTGGGTGGAGTTCTTAGAAGACTATGATTATACGATTAACTACCATCCAGAAAAGGCCAACGTTGTAGCAAATGCTTTAAGTCGAAAGGCTCAACTAGCAAGTTCAATGATGGGAGAGTAGCGCTTGTTAGAGGATGTATATGAATAGAACCCACATCTGGAGCTACAGAAAGTTATTTTTTCAAATGTTGAGGTGAATTCGACACTGTTAGATCGGATTAAAGAAGGCCAAATGAAAGAACTGACGGTGCAGAAGTGGGTAGAACAACTGAAGAAGGGAAAGTTGCCTAACTTTAACCTAGGTTTTGATGAAATTTTAAGGTTTCGAAATCACGTTGTTGTACCTAGGGATGAAGAGTTAAAGAGGGAGATTTTGGAGGAATCTCACCGTTCTAGGTATACGGTGTACCCAGGCAGTGGTAAAATATATTAGAATCTCAAAAATTTGTATTAGTGGGATAACATGAAGGCGGAGATTACCCAATTTGTACAAAAGTGTCTTACGTTCCAACAAGTGAAGGTCGAACATCAAAAACCGTCAGGTCTGTTACAGCCTTTAGAGATTCCTGAATGAAAGTGGGAGCATATAACGATGGATTTCGTATCAGGGTTACCACGAACTAAAAAAGGGTATGATGCGATTTGGGTGATAGTGGATCGATTAACTAAGACCGCACATTTCCTGCCAATTAATATGAAATATTCTTTGGAGAAACTGACCAAACTCTATATGGATGAAGTAGTGAAATTACATGGGGAACCAGTGAGTATCGTGCCTGATAGAGACCCCAAATTTGTATCTCGATTTTGGCAGAAATTGCAAGAGACTCTAGGAACTAAGTTGAACTATAATACAGCGTATCATTCTCAAACCGATGGACAATCTGAGAGGACCATTCAAACTCTTGAAGATATGCTAAGAGCCTGTATTATAGATTTTGGAGGGAGTTGGAGCCAATATTTAACCTTGGTTTAGTTCGCGTATAACAATAGCTATCACTCTTCTATTCAAATGGCTCCATATGAAGCATTGTATGGACGAAAGTGGCAATCGCCATTCCATTGGGATGAAGTAGGAGAGAGGAAGATTATTGATCCGGCTACAATACCTTGGGTTGAGGAAGCCTACGAAAAGGTAAAGGTGATTCGTCAGAGGGTTCAAATAGTTCAAAACCGACAAAAGAACTATGCCGATCATCGAAGGAAGGATTTGGAGTTTGAGATAGGGGATAAAGTATTTCTTAGGGTTACTCTATTGAAAGGAAAGATTAAAGGAGGAAAAGGGAAAAATTTGCAACTGAGGTACATATGATCCTTTAATATACTCCAGCGGATAGGAAAGATGGTTTATCGACTAGAGTTACCAGCTAGCTTGTCTCGGATTCATGACATATTTCATGTTTTTTTGCTTAAGAAATACCATCCGGATCCAACTCATATTTTGCCACCAGAAGATATTGAACTCGACGAGTCTTTAACCTATGAGGAACGACCCATTCAAATACTGGATAGGAAGGTGAAGGACTTGAGAAACAAGCAGATTCCACTGGTTAAGGTTCTATGGAGATATCATGACGTGAAGGAAGCAACCTGGGAGTTGGAGAAAGACATGCAAGAGAAGTGTTCCGAGTTGCTTACGACTAAAAGTATGAATTTAGATGTCGAAATTCTCTTAAGGGGGAGAGAGTGTGAGAACTTGCAAAATTCCTTATATTTTTCTTAAAAATAAATTCCCTTTTATTTGGAAATTATTACTTTATAATGGCCCTACTACCCAATCACCCCACAATAAGTGCAAATGAACAAAGAATTAAGAGTTTTTCCTTTCGTTTTCAAACTAACGAAAATTAGGGTTTTTACGCCTTTTCGTAGTGTGACTATTCAGTGCGGACTGTGTATCACATTTGGTGATTAAGAGTGAATTTTAGATGATATTAAGAGTGCGATTATAAATGATAATAATAAGTTAGTGAATTATAAGATAAAATCCTAGTATACGCGATTTAAAGAAAAACAGCATAAACCGACGGGTGTTGTTCGCTACCGATTGGCTACCAATTGAACATACCATTTGACCACCATTTTACCAAGTTAATCTCATTGTTATTAAAGCCTAAATATCAGCTCTAAAACTGATCAAGGGGGCCGAAATATTTGACCCCAAAAACCCAAGGAAAAGAAAAAAAAGTGAGATGTGATCTTGTGTGGACAAGTGGCATCCATCCAATAACCTTTGACCCAAATTATGACCAAACCATAAAACCATCTTGGAGCTTCATTCTTCTTCATTTTTTCAGCTTGTGGCCGAAACCTTGAGAGAGAAAACACAAGGAAAGGAAACTCCATTATCATCTTGTAGCTTAGTGTTTGTGAGTGAAAAACAAGATTCTAAACCGATTAAATCTTTCTTTGAGTACTTAGAAAGCTTGGTGTGCAAAAGATTTACAAAGAGAGGTGGTGGATAATTCTTACAAGCATCTTTGAGAGGTATATTGGCTGTCCATCACATTTATTTCCCTTAGTCTTGTTTAAGTTGAGTAGTAACTTGTAATCTTGCTTGTGATGCCTAATTCGATGATTGTGGTGCTAAACTTTGAGTTAGGGTTTTGAATGGTTCACTTATAATTCTTATTGTTTGGATAGCATATGGTGTATATAATCTTGTATAGGAGGTTGTAGTAGTGGTTTAAATTAGAAAGGTGAGTTATACCTTGAACTCCTTAAAATTCCAGAAATGAAACTCTTCACTGCCCTGTTCTGACCGGTTCTGTTTGACCATGAGGGAGGCCGAATTAGGCTTAGCACAAAACATAAAAGTTGTAGAGAATGATGTTTTATATCTGTCTGCAAAATTTTAGCTCATTCCGACTACTGTATCTTGTAAAATGATAAAATTACCCCTGACTGCCATAGGTAGAGTTTCATGGACAGTTTTGACATTTCACCAATCTAACCGCATCTGTTAATCCTGGTCCATACTAAATTAGTATTTGGCCAAAACACAAAAGTTGTAGTGCTATGTCTTAACTTTCCAACGGCCCTAAAAACGCCTCAATCGGACTTCGGTAGCCTGAGTTATGGTCGTTTACGCATAGTACGGTTAACTAGCCTGATTGTGAGATTCTAGTTCTGTAAT